CCAACAGCTTCTGAACCAAAATCTCACTGTGGATCCAAAAGCTGGATGGTGGCTCACACACACACACACACACACACACACAGACACACACATGCTGTTTCCACTCTCTCTCTCTCTCTCTCTCTCCCCACACACACAGGTGGACGGGGTTGTTTTGGCTCGGCTGCAGGGCAGCAGCTTGACTCCTTTTGAGCCAATGAGCCAAAATAATGGCCGACAATTCCAGAGTTATTGTCAGTGTTTTCCCCCCACCGCTTTTCCCAGAATCCCTCTCAGTCGTGCGGGTTCAGAATCAGAACATCGCCCTCAGATTAATTATCCTACGTTGGCAGAAAGATGGAACAGCAGGATTTAGAGTCTCTCTCTCACACACACACACACACACACACACACACACGACTCACTGTACGGAGAAAACGACCTGCGCAGGTGAAACCAGAAAATGAAACGTCAAACCTCAACCTGTTACTTTTTTTGTTGTTGTTTTTAAAGTCGTCATATTTTCCTCACCCCTTCATTCTACAAAAGCGGGGGAGGGTATCCTCACACCCCACCCTGCAGTGATGTGGCCCACACCCCGGTGTGGGTCCCAGGCCCGGCCCGTTTACCTCACAGTCTGTGTCACAGAAACAGGGAGTCGACCCACCGGCAGCAGCAGGGGGCGCTGGACTGTGTGGTTTTTGGCCCTAATTAAAAATTAAAAAACTTTCCAGGGCTGCTGTAGCCCTGTTAATAAATAAAAATAATACACAGACACAGAGAGAGAGAGAGAGAGAGAGAGAGAGAGAGAGAGAGAGCGTCCACACGGCCATTTGTTGTTCCCTCTCACTTGTCAAAGCTCTTTGCCTTAAAAGCCTCTGTCATTGTTGTGGGAGAGCAAGCTGGGGGGGGGGGGGGGGGGGGGGGGGGGGGAGCGTATATAGACCTGGAGGGAGAGTTCCATAAACTAATGGCACCTGTTGTGGTGATGAGTGAGACGGAAGGAAATGACAGGAGCTCAGTGTTCACTGTTCACTGTTCACTGATCCTCCTCTTCATCATCATCATCTTCTTCTTCTTCTCTGGACGTCCAATCAGAACGCTGGAACCATGCTGGACTTTTCTCTCTCTCTCTCTTTACTTTGCTTTTACTTTGTCACCTCCTCACTTTTCTCCCCTCTCCTCCCATCCCCTCGTCTCTTCCACATTCCTCCCCTCCTGTCCTC